CCCCCCTTCAACCTTTCTTTTTAACCCCCCTCTTAATTGTTATTATGGGGTGGCACTGTAGCCGCACACGTCGATTTTTCCTCCTGCAGTCCAAAGCCATGCAGGCTGATCGGTGTCTCTAAATTGCCTGTTGTATGTCTGCGTGCCTCTGCATGCTAAAAACCTGTCACTAAAAATGTCGAAAGTCTTGTGTTTCTTAGGTTACTTATGTGCTAAGGTTAGGGCTGGGTAGGGTTATGGTTATTTTAGTTAGCATCATTGTGCATCCGGCATTGGACTGGCATCCTGTCCACTGTGTACCTCAGCTTGGGTTACACTACTGGTCTTGCACCAGGATGTGCAGTCGGATAGATGGATGGATGATGATATTCCATGATGTTACTTATTGTCTCCATAAACCCACGACTCTCATGTTTTAGCCTCAGAGACCCTATTCTAAGGTCAGACCCCGCCCCTCTGAGGCATGACCCCGCCCCTACTAGGCATGACCCCGCCCCTACTAGGCATGGCCCCGCCCCTAACCTAACCAGGTCATGCCTCCTCTTTCAGCTGAAGGCGCGTGATGTGGCTGCGCAGGCTCTCGCCTTCATCCAGGACCTGGTGGCGGCGCTGCTGAACTTCCACAGCTACACGGAGCAGAGGGTGCACATCTACCCGCTGGACTCCTCCATCGAACCCGTGTCCCCACTCAACCAGAGGGTAGGAGCCAGGGGACGCCCCACCCTGCGCCCAGCATGCACGTGCTGCCACCATACATGCTGCTTTGTCATTGTTCTGAAATTAGTTTGTTCTGTGTGTCTCTTGGTTCCTCGTTTGTTTTTTCTGTAGTTTGTTTTTCTGTCCGCATTCTCACTCGTGACATCTGTGCATCTCCGCCCTCCCGCAGTTTGCGCAGTACCTGCACGAGAATGCAGCATATGTGCGCCCCCTAGAGGAGGGCCTGCAGCAGCTGCACCAGAGCATCACTGAGGACACGGTCACCACGCTGGTGAGGCCTGCCGTACTTATTAGCCATCATTAGTGGTACGCTAATGCGCCAGCGTGGTGGTTTGGCCTTAATTTAATTAGCAGTTAATCAGTCACTATTAGCGGTTAGCAGTTCAATGGTACTGGTGGGACAGCATTAATTGCCCCTCCCGCCCTCCATTTTGTGGCCTTCGTCTGAAGGAGACGGCGGTGAATCTTCAGGATTTCTCCCGCCACTTTGCCTCCTACACCTGCTTCCTCCAGAAGATACTGCCATACCAGCTGAAAAGGTCTGTTGGTGTTTTGTTTTTTTTGTCTTATCTTTTTGCCTCCATTGGTTTGTTCCTGCTTCCCTATCCTGAGTGTGTGGTGTCTTTCTATAGCTGCTGTGGTGTCAGACACTCGCCTCAATTCTGACCGTTCTTTTTGCTGTGTCCGGCCTCCCGTAGTCTGGAAGAAGAATGCGAGGTGTCTCTCTGCATGCCCTCCCTCAAGGCCAAGAATGAGGAGCTGAAGGGGGATATGAAGAGGGTGACGGCCATGTTTGAGAAGCTGCAGACCTACATCAGCCTGCTGGGCTTACCCAGTGAGTGAAACTAGAGGCAGGAGGCTGGTGTCTGGCATGCACTATTGTGAGCCTCCACTAGAGGGAGTGCTGTGTGAGTCAGGCTGGGACAAGTTTTGAAGAGTCTCTTTCCTGCTTCTCTTGATATCAGTGATGATTAACACTTAAGCCAGAAAACTTGGAGTCCTGCCTGAGTGCCCTTATGATAATACACGTCTTTCCTTGAGTATGTTGTGTTGTGTTTTGTGTGCTTAGTTTCTCAGACACATGGAATAGACCAGAGAACAGCAGCTCAGTCTGTCATGACTGGTGATCATTTAATTCCTCCGGAAACGGGCGGGTCACCGTTTTTGCCTAAAACTAGCCAGCTCTGGTTTCTCCATGATGAAGCTGGCAGCTGTCAGAGCAGAGTGAATTAATATTTTCGCTTCTCCTTTTGCGTTTAGGAGGAGTTTCGTGGCCGGAGGGGGGAGAGGGTGGAAGAATGGCTAGATAATGGAGAATCCTGGGATGATAGAGGAGTATAGGAGAGTAGGGAGATTGCTTTCTTGTGTTATAAGCCTCTAGGCTCTGGTCCTGGATACTGATTGGCTAAAATACTTGAAATCGTACTCGTACTTTTTTGTGTGTGTGTTTCCTTATTGTCTCACGTATCACTTCGTCAGCTAAATGGGTTCGGATTCATTCTACTGTGTGCCGATCATCAAAAACCAGTCCCTGTGGGTTTATTTGTAAATATTTCACTGAACTGGAGTGTTTATTCCCGAGCAGCTTTCTGCACTGTGTTTAGCAACCTGTGCAGTTATTTGTCTATGGGGAATGCGTCTCTCTGCACGTGTGGCTTGCAGTGTAGCGTAAAATGCAGACGCTAGGGGGAGCTCTCACGTTTCACCGCCCTGCCCGCAGGTGCCCGCCCGGTCGCCCTGCCACAGAGCAGCTCCACTGCAGTCTTCACTCAGCTGGCAGCTTGTCTGCACGGCCTGCAGGATGCTGTGAAAGGTAAAGGGGGGGGGGGGGTACAGTGGCACTGCCTGGCCTCAACCCATCAGGATGTAGATCCGGCATGCCTGCTTTCGTTTGTTGCGATGGCCATGGTATAGTTTTATCTTGCATCCCATAATAGCAGAACGCCACAGGTTTGATTGTGAAGGTTTGAACCAGAAGGCCCCAGTGCGCCTTCGGCTCCCACTGGAAGTCTCCCTGTCCCCCTTGGGGTCCATCATGGCTCCGGCTTGTGGCGCTTCACTGCCTGCCCTTGACCTGGCCTGTCTAATGGCCGCTGTGTCTGTGGAATATTTGTTCTTGGCTCACACAGTCGGCGTGTCTGACAAAGCCAGGGCTCTTTGAGCCAGAGACAGGGGCTACTGAGCTGCAACCTGAGCAATTTGGGGGCTTTAGGGTATTTGGTGAATGGTGGAGGATTCCAGCTGCAAAATTCCAGATAATACTGTTTTCAGTAGTTTTTCCTGTTTTAACTTTCTGTTGGTCTGATCTGTTTGATTCGTAAAAAGCGTTGCAATCAAGCAACAAGTAAATCCAGCCTAAATCTTTCCTAGAACTTGTTGATGAAGCAGCTTGATTTATGACTGTAAAGTTTACATGGATGTGCTGTGCGAACCTCCCCCCCCTCCCAGAGACGTCAAAACACTACACCCAGAAGGCCACACTGGAGCTGGAGTTGCCCACGGCGACGGAGAAGCTTCGCACCACCAATGAGTGCCTGATTTCTTCCCTTTGCTGCCTGTCCAACTGCACTGGAAAGGTAGTACTGCACCCCAGGGGGCACTGTGTGACTCCAGCTGGGTGAGGCTAGGGTGGATCAGGCTGTCAAATAATGAACCTGTAAATGAACTAGAGATGAGTGCAAGACCAGAGAAAATGAGGAAAACCACTAGGGAGTGGGAGGGACCTGCAAATGAAGAATGACTCGCATTTGTCAGCTAAGAAATGGCCAGTGATCCTTGGAACTCGTACTATGCTGAATAGAGGCCGGCGTAGTTCGGGGGACTGAATGAGCTGCAAACATGGGCCTCTTCTGCTCCTGTGTGAAACGCGTCTGGGTCTGACTGCACCAGTTACCTTCTGGAATGATGCATTTGTACTAGAAGTGTAAGTAAAGATATTGAGGCTAGATTTGCAACTCCCTCTACAGAGGGACATGTAGCGAACATGTTTCAGGCCAAAGTGAGTCTGTTGGAGTAGATTTTAGTCTTATTGTCCTATCACCATTTTAAGACTTAAACACATCTATTAGGTCACATGATATAACCTCGTCACTTTGTTGGTGTGATTATTTTATGATGGATTTTTCTCTCCTCACTCGACGGTCTCCATGTCCCCTGCATACAGATAGCCACCTTCTTCAGCAACAACCTAGATTTCTTCGTGTCGTCGACTGGTTACGGGCCTAGGGGCGGGACAGACACCCTCAACCCCCTGCACGCTGAGAGCATGCTGAGGAGCAAGAAGCAGGCGGCGGCCTTCATGCGGGTCCTCAAGAAGGTCGGTGTAGTGCCTGACCGGATCTGTCCGACACTGGGGATGTGTAATGCCAGATTCCAGTTAATGAATGCAGTGAGAGTGACCAGCTGGCAAGTCAATGATGCTTAATGATTCCAGTTTGTACTTTTCAAAGGTCGATTTTTTTTTTCCAGGTGATTGTGTTGCAGGCCTGTAGCCCTAAGAACGTAAGATGATCCTTTGCCTAGTGGGGTCTGATTTCATTGTTCCTGTTTAGCATTTGACAAAATCCGAAAATATGCAATAGATTAAATAAATTCACTGTCCATGGTTTAACAGCAATGATGATAATCGCTCGTTGTCATATGGAAATCAGAGGAATCCTTAACGCTGGCGTCTTACGGGCCGTGCCCTGTGGCCCTGTCGAAACCCCAGACAGAATCTGATTAGCCGTCTCCGAGTGCAGCCAGTTTGAACCGGCTGGGAAACAACACGCCTTTTTATTCTTAATTGCTATTAAGTGTATAAAGGACACCGTTGTATTTTAGCTGAGAGGAGGGTGTGACATTTAACCCCTTTCTGTCTGTGTGCTTGCCTGCTCACCCGTCACAGCGCCGCCCCGAGTCTGTGCCATACCAGGAGGCCCTGTCCAATCGCCGCATCCTGACCAGCTCCACCGAGAGCCGGGAGGGCCTCAGCCAGCAGGTACCCTGCCGCTCACCCGGGTTCCATGTTGGGTACCCCTTCTAGGGTGAAATCTCTCCTTAACCACGTCACTCCCCACCTCAGGTCCAGCAGAGCCAAGAGAAGATCGCCCGTCTGGAGCAAGAGAAGGAGCACTGGCTTTTGGAGGCCCAGTTGGGGCGGGTACGGCTGGAGAAGGAGAACCAGCGCATCTCCCAGCTGGAGGCCCAGCTCTCTGCCGCCCTGGGCACTGCGCCCGCCCCTCAAACCCTCCCCGGCGAGGGAGGCGGTACCCCGGCCAGCCAGGAGGAGGCAGAGCTGGAGGAGAGGGGCGCTGGGAAGGAGTTCTCACAGTCCGCAAGCCTGGTTCGCAAACCTCTATCCACACTGTACATCTGTTATCTCACTGAGCAGAAGTTAAAGTTGGACACACTGCATTCTGCCAGGGAATGATTATAGTCACGCATGGCTGCCTTATACAGACAGGCGCTGCGTTTATTCCTGACCCCCAGTACTGTACGCTAGTGGCCAAAATTGTGGAAACACTTCCAATTTTTAGATATTGCGGAATTTTATTCCATTTACCTCAGTTACTTATTTAATCTCCCATGTATGATATTTGTACCATTCTTTGATTGTTTATAAACATTATCACCAGTATTTATTAAAGCGTAATGCCAAAAATGTGCGGCGTTTCCACTATTTTGGCCACTAGTGTATATACTACAGCCACGGAAGCGTCGCGTGAAGATTTATGTTGATGTGTGTGTGTGTGTGTGTGTGTGTGTGTGTAACAAAGCCTTCCAATGCATTTTTAAAATCAAATCAAATCAAATCAAAGTTTGTCAAATGCACAACAGTATGGCAGACCGTGATAGATGCAGGCATGAAATGAGTTTCCCTGCGGTGGACTAAGTAGGATTAAGTATAAATAAAACGTATTTAAAAACAAGTCAATAAATAAAATGTATGTTTAAAAAGATAAAATAGAACAGATTAAGGAAAAAATGTAAATATGCAAAGTGTCCATGCTAACAGCCTGATTAGCTACTGAGTAACCAGTCTGAGGGTGGACGCTGTTACGGAGTCTCTGTCCGCGCTAACAGCCTGATTAGCTATTGAGTAGCCAGCCTGAGGGTGGATGCTGTTACGGAGTCTCTCCGTGCGCCGATGCTCCAGTTGGCAGGGATGTCTGGCGTCCTTGAGCATAGATGTAGCTTTAAGGCACCTACTCATCCTGGATGTTGGGCAGATCACAACCAGTGATACTCTGCTGCGTTTAAGGCTGCCATACCTAGCAGGGGGATCCAAAGCCTTTGGGGGGGGGGGGGGTTTGTCTTTAATGAGCTTGGATGTCATTAAGGTAAATGCTGAAGCACTTAATTAGTACAAACACTTGCTATTGAAGTTGCTCAGGTTATTATCTTCTCAGTTAATTAGTTAACCCGTAATCACAGTGAACCCCCCCCCTCAGAGTTTATGGACCTCCCGTGCAATTATCCCCCCCCATTACCATTTGGTGATTGGTAACTTCCATCTGTCTTTCTCCAATAACAGATTGGCATGCTGACCATGACCCCCAGCAGCGAAGATGTAAGTATCTCCCCCCCACCCCTCCGCACCCCTTTCTGCACCGTGTACTTCACTGAGCAGCTCCTTTAGTGCCGTTCTGAGGCCCTGCGTAGTCTGTCCTGCCCTGCAGGCCATTCCTCTCCCCTGTCCACCTGCCTCCATTCATACTGCAAAGGGCGTTTCTTAGCCTCGCTGACGGCTTATAGCTTTCCGCTCCAGTCTCCAAGGGTCTGCAGTGGCAGTATATTTCCCCCCCCGGAACACCAGGCAAATGGGGCATAAATCTGAGCGGCGTGCCATGGCAGCCCTTACCCACAATCCCCCTCTGCAGGTGGGAGATGAGCAGTCCAGGGAGCAGCTGATAAAAAGTCACTACATGGGCCGGATTGGGGAGCTGACCGCGCAGCTGCAGGTGTCCGACAGCAAGGCGGTGCACTTCAACGCGGAGGTGAGAGCCGGGTGCGAGCACACGCACACGTGTGCAGCCGAACATGGAAGCCGGCAGGGGGAAACCCAGATGCGCCCTTATGACAGTCATAGTTTCCATGAACAATGAAGCGCACTCGCTTGCTCACAGTAGGCTCATACACCATAAATAAGCCCAAATTTTCACTTCCTGTCTGATTTCCTTCGCTGCCTGCACTTCCTATATATATTAATAAACTGTAGGCTCTACACTTGTTCCTGCTCCCCTCCATTGTGAATTCCTTCTTTCCGACTCCCAAATCACTTGATCGTTTCACCACTCATAGAGAATGTGTTTTTTTTTTTTTTTTGCACGTGTGTATACTTGCGCGCGCGCGCGCGCACACACACACACACACACACACACATACACACACACTCTTCCCGTTAATTCCTCACAGATGGGGGTGTGACCATCGTGCCAGAATTCATAGCTGGATTCTCTGGCCCCCACCCCTTGGGCTCTTAGTCCATCCCCATCCCTCCCTTTTCTGTTTTCTTCCAACGTCTCTCATTCACATCACTGGGGGGGTGTTGATTACTTTCGAGTGTGCAGAAGTTTGACCTCTTCATCACTCCTATTCAGGCATGTCCTCAGATGAAATTAGCACTCGGCATAGATTGTTAGTTCCATTAGTCACATGTTTGTGGCAATGCATCATGGGAGTGACAGGGTGCCTGATTGTGACTCAGATTGGTCACATGTCACTGACCCACCCTTTTTTTTATATTGTCACTCCCTGCTGGATGGTTTACTGTGGAAGAAAACTTCATAACCTAACAGATTTCAGTGCTTGTGGTAATATTGGGTTTGGGACTGGTTCCCAGCATGCAGCTTCCCTGTGCGTGAAGTAAAGCTCTCAGCTGTTGCTCACCCCCACAGTGCCGTGCCCTGGCCAAGCGGCTTACCCTGGCAGAGAAATCCCGGGAGAGCCTGACGGAGGACCTCAAGCAGGCCGGTCAGAACACCTCCCGTCTGCAGGTACAATCCTAACACCACTGGGGATTATAAGAGATCATCCCTGTCACACTCTGACAAACACCCCCCTCCCCCATTTAGGATGAACTGACCACCACAAAGCGGAGCTATGAGGACCAGCTGAGCATGATGAGTGACCACCTGTGCAGTATGAACGAGACACTGAGCAGGCAACGGGAGGAGATAGACACGCTCAGGCTGGGAGGCAAGGTAGGGTGCCCCCTAGTGCCTGTCGATGGTTTGTGCATGAAGTCCAGGAGTCCTTCATGTGTCGGTTGGGATGCATTAGGTTTCATATCAGAGGATCAACTGGGCTCTTTTAAAGGGCCAGACCGTGTTTAATGGGGACACAGTAAGCTGTCATTTTTAAAATTGTGGTTGCAGTGGGATGTTTGTGTGGGAGGTCTGCAACTGACCACTGGAATGTTTCACAAAACAGATTTAGTGAAATGTATAGCAGGTCCAGGAGCAGTGCTAAGCTGTGTAGCATGTCCAGGGGTGGGGGGGGGGTGCTGTATGGGGAAAACACCTGACTGGAAAGTTGTTGGGGAGGATTCAGAAGGGCCTGTAAAATAGGGTGTCTGCGCGTGTGTCTGCGCATGTGTGAGGGTCTTACTGTGTCTGGCAGATATGCATCTGCGCGTGTGTGAGGGTCTTACTGTGTCTGGCAGATATGCGTCTGCGCGTGTGTGAGGGTCTTGCTGTGTCCGGCAGATATGCGTCTGCACGTGTGTGAGGGTCTTACTGTGTCTGGCAGATATGCGTCTGCGCGTGTGTGAGGGTCTTACTGTGTCTGGCAGACGTGTGTTTGCGCGTGTGTGAGGGTCTTACTGTGTCTGGCAGACGTGTGATATGGCACATGATTCCCCTGATATTCCCTTTTAGACCAGCTTCTGCTCTGGGTTCTGCCTTGCCCTCCCCTAACCCCCTAAAATCTCTGGGTGCCACTTATGAGCCGAAAACCAATTTGAGGCTGGCCAGGCGGGGACCTGCGATGGTGATTACACAGCTGTGTGAGACCCGTGATTTACAGATGTCAGCGAAGCCAGTGATATTTAATCAAAATACAGACACAGCTGAGCCAGAGTCGCCCCCCTCGACAGACAGACAGACAAACACCCACACACACACTTACTCAGAGGTGCAGCTGTGATCCTTTGAGGTTCCTGCCTGACCTTCACTGTTGAGAAGTAAATAATAAGGCTGTTCTACTTCCACCCCCAGGGAAACTCCAAAAAGAACAAGGGACGATAAGGCATCTTTGTACACCCCCACTGGGCGGGAAGGGATGCACACTGAACTTCGGGACCATCCAGCGCCTTTCTGAAACTGCTCCCTGAATGCTGTGGGGCAGATGACCTTTGACTGTCACTGTCGCACAGCAGCGGTGCCCATGGAGGGAGTCGCTGGGCTGTCTGCCTGAAGAAACTGGTTTTCTATCTCTGTGTTCAGCTATAAACTGTTTGCAAAGTGCTTCCTGTAGGAGTTATAGGGTTTTCCCACCAGTGGAATGGGAAATGGGAGTATGGGCCAGAGACATTGCGGGCTGGAGTACTGACTTGATCTGGATCTTTAACGCCTGGCAGGAAGCTTTTGTGTGTGTGTGTGTGTGTGTGTGTGTGTGTTTGAGTGAATGTGAGAGACAGTATGACAGACAGAGGCACTACTAACACTGTAACACGCAGAGGAGCCTGGAAAACATTTCCTGTGTCTGCATACATATGAACTTCACTTTGAACTTTAAGCCCTCTGATAAAAAAAGGGATCCTGTCCCAGCAGCAGGGCCTGGACCCCCTCCCCCCGCAGGGGCTGCTGCAGGATGTCACCACACCTCCTGCCTCGGTGCACTACCTTCCATGACAGGACATCCCGTTTGAACCCCACCAGTCTGCTATGGTCAGGCTGGGAATGCAGGTGCTGAAGAGAGCCAGAGAAGAATCGGAATTGGTGGGGGGAGCATTTTTATCAAAACGCATTAACAAAATGAGCCTTTGTTTGTGTTTCATGGTAGTTTTATCAGACAGAAACAAAATGAAACAATGAAGTAGGAGTGAAGATGGATTTTTAAGAACTTACTATTCATATGCAGTCGGATTCCTCCCAGTGAGCAGCCTACCTTGTAGATGACCTCTGTGTTTACAAACTGTGATATCTAATTTGATATTGCAAAACCTGTTCTCTGTAATTAAGTCTGTGACAGTGCTGTTCTGTGTTTTAGGGATGTTCATGGTCGGTGATGTAGTCTGAAACTAACCACTAATGTAACAGTTCTGTAATGCCTGGGGGGGGGGGGCTTTCAGACCCCCACCAGAAGAGCAGCGCTGTTAAGCTCCTTGACAGGTTTGTGTACTCGGTCTTCGTTTAGTGTTCAGTATTACTGCCCTTATGACTTGTGCTTTTGCTGAGACATGCATTTATTAAACAGTTTTAAAAATATATATATATAATCACAGTTCAAAACTTGTTACTTACTGGCTTTCCTGGTACGTTATGCTTATTAAATTACTTGACTTCCAAAGGAATGTGTTTAGATAATATACCACTTGTTGGGGATATTTGTATCTGTTCTGTCTTTTCCCCCTTCATGGCATAAATGATTGGGTCTGTCTTTGAAAAGGTCTTGGTTTGTGTCGGCAATCTTTAAACACAATCAGTACGGAAGTTTGTGGAGTGAAAAGGTGAAGGGCTGGACATTGTGTTTCTGAGAAAAGGGTTTTTTGATGTTGAAGTTTTAGTTTATTGATCTTTCATGAAAATATTTATCATTCAAACATTCAGATGTTTCCATTTTCGAGTTTTAAGCTCAGTTAGAGGGTGTATGTAGGGTAGGGCTGAGTTAAAAGTCTGTTTTCTTTTTTTGTAATTGTGTATCTGTGATTGGTCCATGTGAAAATACTGTTTTAAGCCAATGGGATGCCTCTCCAATTTGTTCACCTTCCAGTGTCGATGGGCCAATAAAGTCTGTGCATCAGAAGGTTGTATGATTTACCCAGACTCTTCCCAGCCCCACTGTCATACCAGTAGGTGCCACGGCCATCACAGAACATGAACAGGAAGGCGCTGCAGCCCACTGATGTACCCTAGAGCAAAGTTCTTCTGGATTTTTTTTTTTATAACCAAAACGACAAACAATTTTACTACCAGGATAATATGGCATCTCGATGAGGGCAGTGTAATAAGGGACCCTAGACTGTTTCCCTGCCTGGTCCTGCTGCCTCCTGGCTGGAGGCCACAGCATTGGTGGGATTTTTTCCTACCTCTTAACCAATAGCAATCCAGCTTGCTCCAAGTCACTTGGCTTGTTTTTGCCCAAGTATCAGCTGTGCCCTTTCACTCATGATTCAAACTGAGTTTGTTCGGTCTTTTAACACATAAAGGTTGTATAATAATAATAGATATTTTTATTGATCCCTGTGGAGAACTACTTTTCACTCCACCCCCAAACATGCTCTCTGTAGATAAGCGTGAGCTGGCTGTGATGGGCAGCCACCCATAGTGGCGCCCAGGAAGCTGGGGGTTAAGGATGTTGCTCAAGGACCCACAGACGTGCAGAGGCTGGCCTCGAACCGGCAAATGAAATGAAACACGAGTGATGGGAGGGGGGTCCCATTTGGAGATGGAGGAGCCAAACAGGGAAACTGAGGCCACCCAGGCTCTCCTGGTCATCACTTCCTGTCCTGAGATCCATCACGTCTTCCTGCTCGTGAAGAATTAAAAGGCTTCAGCACAACTACTTTGAGTCTCAGACTGTGTCGGGAATCCTAAGAAATGAAAAAAAGATGCTACGCATCATGAGCGAGCCGGTCCCAGCGGGAGTCAATCTGTGGTTTTCCAGTAGGACGAGCACAGCTGTCTGACAGCTTACTCACGTGTGGATGGTGGAGATGTTCTCATCTGTTGATGGGATCCTGAGGAGAGGCTCTATATTGAGGGGGGGGATTGTGTAGTGCCAATACCTAAGAGTTGCATACAGTAACAGGTGTTGGGGGTTCCTGTTTCCCCCCCAGCACCCTTCATGGGTAAGTTGTCTCCTGAGAACACTGTGTGATGGCATTCCCACCCACCTCCACTCTACACAAACCATGACAGTAAGCAGCACCCTTAGATCTCTGATCAGCTTTCACTGTCTGTCTTCCGGCCTCCAGGGCAGCTATGCAATATGGTCTCACGGCCCCCCACGCGCCTCTCTGGGCACATTTCATTGCACATAATTGATAGTTTCTCTCCTTCACTAGTCCTCTGTAATTACCGCCGTGACTTTGAATAAAAGGTGTGGGGGTGGAGGGAGATATTCAGTGAGAAGACCGGCTTGGGTGCATCCCTTTTGCAGGCGCTAATTTCTCCATGAGTCACTGGCAGAACATGTGAACAAAGGGAGAGGAATAAAGACAGCGGGAAATAAGTTTCGGCGAACGTAATTCAGATTGATCCTAAAAAATAAGTATAATGGTTAGAAAAAATTGTTTACAGGAAGGGGTTTTTAGTAAGTACGAAGTTAAGAACAAAGATTTCGAAAGGGATAAGATCTTTAATGTCATTATACTGAGGTATAATGCCACCTCTTCTTGCACAGCAGTTTTAAAACAATGGCAACGGGCTCGACACTTCGCCAATTCGCTTTTTCTAAATACAGTTTGGTATTTTGAAGTTCTTGTTTATGCCTACTTAAATGCATCATTAGTACTGATCTAGGAAGCAAAAAATCTTCTGCTAGAAACAGAAATAAACATTCCCTAAAATGGCATAACGTTAAATATCTCGCTTCATTCTGCGAATTTCTGCTGTAACGGGAAGTGGAAAGGTAGTTGGGGATCAGAAAATGTTTATGGCAAACGGCAGGCTTTCAGCTCAATGCACGCCATTGCCTTTCATATCCGGGAGAAAAACGCTGCAATGCTGGTGCCGCGTTCGGCTGTTTACAAAGAATTGATGATGAACTCCGAAGGTACAACATGTTAGCAGGAAATTACTGTCCATAACAAACGGAGAACGAACAAGACGACACGACACCAAGCCTGCACCCTGTTTAGCATGGAGGTTTGATATATCCCACACCATTTCCAGCCCCTGGCGCCAGTCTGCGGGAAACCGAAACAAATTATTCAGGATAAACAATTAGTACGGTCAAAAACGTAAAAGCAGCACAACACTGTTTCCCCTTGGGCTAATTGTTATAAATATTTAAACATTAAAATAAATTAGCTGTGAGTGACACTTTTGTTTGGAATACAAAGTCACGGGTGTCGTGTTTAAATTTTAAATCTTTGATCGCGTAATTAGACTGGTTAGTACGTGTTCAAGATTTGGATCATTAGTACAGATTTCAACATGGGTAAAAGACATTTACATTTAAAAATGTAAATGTTTGTCCCAAGCTTAGTGTTGTTCGCCTCGGTTTTGGGAACTGTTTCAAATTCTGGCAGTGAGTAAATGGCCTTATATTCTCAAGATATCTTAATTATTATAAAGCTGTAACCTGTTAAAATTGAATGTGTTTTTTTTTTAACTCCGACAACTTATATACTAACTTCCTCCATGCATCAAATGAGCGCAGGAAAGCAAAGTAATGGAATCTCGTATTTCGCCGCAAAGTCTGCCCTGGCCCCGATCCCCATGCCAGGCTGGCTGTCACACGCAGACGGTAGATCCCCGGAGGAAACGCCTGGCTGCGTCGTCACCATCAGATTTCGGCTACGGAAGAGAAGGTCTGCGGGACTTCTCTCTCCCTCCGCTGCGGACTGTCGCCTGCGCAGACGGCGCAGCCCACGCAGACAGCGCAGCCTCCTAAGCCTGCAGAGCGCGGTCCTTCCCGTTAGATGCGCTCATCGGAGAGAGAGGGGGAGAGAGAGAGAGAGAGAGCGAAGGAGGGAGAAAAAAAGAAGAGGAGAGGGATCCGTAAGACTCTCCGAGTTCTGCCATTTTGTCTGGATTCCTACTGATTCAAGATTGAGAAAACGAAGGAAAATTTGCGTCGACAATGAGCTGATGTTGGCTGAGATCCAGGCTTAAACAACAAACTGAATATATATTTATTTTTGGTGGAAAAAAAACTAGTTGCTTGTTTACAAACTCGCTCTAGTTAAACTTCACAGCCATCGCTCTTCAGGGGTAAGTTTGGATGTACTGTTTGTTTTTGGTAAGCTGTAACCACGTTATGCAAATATTAGCCTAAATATTGTACTTTCCACGCTAAATATTTTATTAAATTTAGAGATACGTTTGTTTCTTTTGAATATGTTCACCACGTTTGTTCGCATACATTTTATCAATTAGACTTGAAAAGTTGTCTGTGTCGTTTACTTTAAACCTATACAGAATGAAACTAAGATTGAAACACTGGATTTGTGACCTTCAATTCCTCCACGGAATCTGCCAAGGGATTATTACCCCGTATTCAGTTTGCCCAGTTTTCAGCATGGTTTCAGTTTGGTAAAGGGGGAAGAAATTTTGTCTCGGTAAGCCCCCCCCTCCTCCCCAGCAACACTATCCTGCTGCATCGCCCCGATGCTGAGGGGAGACCCGGTCATTACCGGCGCATCAAGTCGGTGACAATCATCCTACGTTTGAAAGACTCGGAACCGCAGTGTCTCCCCGGCCGGCCGACGGGCTGCCCCACGGTCTTCGCGCAGTCTGCCGTTTAAATACGCATGAATTTTTGATGAATTTTCCTGAAATGTTTTTCCTTGGGATTACATCATTTACACAAGACCATAAACACCGATCGTTGAATGCGTGTAGGAATGGGTTTTTATTGCTTCTTGCGAAAGTTATTTGCATAACACAAGTGCCACTATGTGTGTTTTCCGTTGTGTTTGTAAAGTCTGGGTGGAGTTATTTTATACAGAATAACTGAGGGCTGTCGCTCTGTGGAAATTCAGTAGGGGATTGATTAATCAAAATTTGGAGCCCATTGTCATCGTTTCGCAGTTAGACTGGTTAAAAGTAGTTTTAAAAATGATTCCCCCCCCTCCTATTAGAGAAAACTGATATTTGGATATGCCGTACGACATATTTAATTTAAACAATGTTTTAATTGCACCTGAGATTGCTCAAACCCTGGCATTAACTGAAAATATAATTATTTTTGATTCTTGACATTGGTCTTTCAGAGTGGACTGACAAACACTTGGTATGCATCAAATTGGCAAATGATCTTGATGTTAACTTCATGAATTTGTAATTAACGTAGTACCACACGACTAAGTTCAGCAATCCTCAATAATTAAATATACTCATCAATATAACAGTATAATGAATAATTTTATGTCGATCCGGAGTTCAAATGCTGAGATTTCTGCAGTGGAAATATGTCAGCGAGCCGAAATCCCGACAAGCGACCACAATGCAAACAGCCGGGCGCCCGAACGGCCAGTTAAAATCGCTAATGCGTGTTGCGCTCCCCTCGCCCCCCTTTGTGGTGTCGGTTTGCGTCGTGTGGGGGCACAGTGCCAGGGGCAGCTTGGCGACCCAATTTCTGCATTGGCGTAGTCCGGTAGATTTCGGATATCTCCTAATCATTGACTACTGGAAGTCCTAGTCATGTCATTATTAGTGAAGCAGACTGCACTGCGATTAACGAGCAGGTCGTGGTTTGGAAATGCCAAGAGCCTGAGGTGGTTGTTTGTTTATTTAATCATCGAATAAAGCACTCATCCCGAATCACTTTAATAGGTATATAAGGAAAAAAACTGGTGAATGGTCGTGCAGAGTCTACATGGGATATACCTGCTTTTTTGGGCTGCAGCAGGTAACCTAACCATGGTATAGCGGCTTGCTGACTCAGTTCTGAACTGGTTCTCTCATCAGGACAAGGGATGAATAGTTACTGTCCTGACTGTGACTGTAAGGTAAAGGATGAGTATATTGAATATATTCATTATGAAAATTCAATATACTGAATTTATTGTTTTGGCTTTTAATAAAGCCCGATGCACATTTTTATGCTGCAAGAATAACAGATGTTAAATGTTGACCTTAAGTACACAACTTTCTGCATATGGAATGTGGGAATTTTTAAGTATATGAAGAACTGTGATGGTTTATATGATTAGTTTTGGGATCTCGCTGCAAAAATAACAATGTTTGAGTAGCTAAGAGCACAGTCATTTTTAAAGGCTCAGTGGGAGATTTTATTCCTCTGGCATGTTCTGGAATGTTCTTTTTCCTTCCTGCAACGCTCAGCAGCAGCACTTAGGAATAATCAGTGGGTCAGAACTGGAGCCATACCAGTCCAGTTTGAGTGACACTGTGTCTCTAGTCTAATAGTCTAATAGTTCTGTTTTTGCTGGTTTCACTAATATGAAAAGCTGTTTATGTCATGGAAATCTCTTCTATTGCGATAGTAGTAAGTTTCAATACCATAATATACACTGACCCAAAAAAATTGTATTTATGTAAATATATTTGTTGTGTACTTGCTGCTGAAAGGCAAGCCACAGACATTATTTACTAACAACAGAAGGATTGGATTCATTATGACACGTTAAAACTAATTTTAAGAGAATTGATTTGGCTGAGAGGGTTTTGAGTTCCACGAAGGAGCGACTGAGGCAGTCCGTTAAAGGGCACGCTGGATGTTTCATGGCTGCTGTTCATGTTTCATTCATTTTGTCTGTGTGTTTATTTGGATCCAGATTGTGATTCTCTGTGTGGAAAGGAAGCCTAGTATTTCTTGCATGCATTTGGGATCCACTGAAGGAATGCTCAGTATGTCATGCCTCTGGTTAGGTCCCCCATGGTCTAGGCAGTTTGCTGCCCCCCCCCAGATCTAGATCTGCGAGGGGCAGAGGGGATCAGGATGTGGCTCCGGGACATGGATGTCTGCCTGAGGTGGATTGGTGTTTAAGTTTTTGTTTTGCTTTTTTAAACTTAAAAAAATTCACAAAGCTCGAGTTGCTACTCCATATCGGGAAGGTGACACTTCCATTTCCCGCTGAAAGTTATACCTCACAATCACGGTGTCTGTGAATTCGAATTTTTTCTTCCTCAGTGGAAACAACGGCGAGTCGTTGGAGGAAAAACAAGACTCATCTATCTGCTAAGATTATCGTCGCAGATTTGTGGTTTCCAGCCCCGAGGCCACCAGTCTCTCTCCTCCAAGGTCCTGATTATTTATACCGGAGCGACGAGCCCCCTAGTGGCAGACACTGGGAATCTTATCTGGCCGTGGCTTTAAGTCGGGATCGGTCTTTCCAAGCTGTGCGGCTGGTGGGACCGGAGCGGTGTTTGGGGGGGACAAATCAGGGCAGAGAAGAAGTGATGATTACAGCCTGGGAGCCAAGCAGACAGGCCTGGCTGACCCCTGGCTCAGACTCTGTATTTAACTCAGCGTCGCTGCTCTGGGTTGCTTACAGCTCATCGCTCTGCTGGCAGGACCGTACGCCCCTGGAGAGACTGGCTTTTTCACAACATGGAAGGCAACCGTGTCTCTTTTTTATTCTAATTGGTTACAGAGTTGCTTTCTTTTTTCACTGACTTCACTGCCAGAGTTTTCCAGATGACTGATCATCCTCCATTTGTAACTGTTAATTACACTTAAACATGGGATTCCTGGCATACCTGGCCCTCTGAAACTGACCTGTGTTTCTGTTATTCTATCTATGGGCAGAACGCTCTCGACCGAAAAGGCGTACTATTTAGACATGTCTGTGTTTTGCCATACCCCTGTTATAAATAGATTCAGAGCGGTCTAAGTTAAATTATAGTGAATATCTGTGCCAAGGATAAACGGTACCATTTGCTACACTGACATACAGGCTTTTAACAGGATGAGCCTCGTGATTTTAAAAATGACAGGCATTACTCGGCAGCAATCAGCTGATTTAGCTGCTATTTATACCTCACGCTCATTCCCTCCAGATGTTCCCCCCCTCCTTCACTGCTAGTGGTTAATATATGGAATGTGGCTCTGAAACACTGCAGAGAATGAGTCACCCCCCCCCCCCCCCACACACACACTTTAATTTTATGAGGGCTCCCACAAAGTGAGGTTTTGTGTTCTTCCAGATGTTTCCACTGCAAGTACTCAGGGGGGAGAGAGACTGCTACAAATACATGCAAAAATGTGATGGAACTCCTAATGCACTGCACCGTGCCTTTAAATAATTTAAGCTCCCCAGTCACCTGTCCAGATGTAATTTTATTGGGAGGAAATCTCAGGAGTGTCTGGGAAATGCTGACAGTGTTCTTCATGCAGGCGATGAACCTGGTGGTGACCTGCCCTGTCACCTGGACGTGACCCTGCACTTCCTGAAGCCAGCAGAGTCAGCACAGGGTGCCGTAGTGCCAGGATTCTTGTGCTTCCTGGTTCTCTGGTATCACTCACCATAGCTCTCGGTTCTGAAGTTCTTGTGTTGCTTCTATGGCCTGGCACTTCCCCTAGGGTAGGTCTGGGCAATTAATTGAATTTTAATTTCAATTACAATTTTGGCTTGATTTTGTTTTGCATTGATGCTCCCATTTTTTCTTATTATATATCCAGATCATCCCTTTCAGGCCCATTTAAATTGTTTCTCAGTTGAATTATATTTAGAATTCATGGCTCCATGGTGCACTGTTGCCTCATACCTCTGGGTCCAGGGTTTGCGTCTCTGCGGTGGCTCCATGTGAGTGGAGTTCTCCATGTGAGTGGAGTTTGCATGTTCTCCCCGTGTCACTATGAGCTTCCCCCCCACAGTCCAAGAACATGCTGAGGTGAATTGGAGTTACCAAATTGTCCGTAGGTGTGTGAGTGTGAGCGAATGGTGTGAGAATGTGAGCGAATGGTGTGAGAGTGTGCCCTGCGAATTCCCTGCTTTGCGCCTGTAGCCTCTGGGATAGGCTCTGGACCCTCCGCAACTCTGAATAGGACAAGTGGTTTCAGAAATGAGATGGGTGGAAAGAATGTATCCATCCATTTTCCAATACCACTTATCCTATTCAGGGTCACGTGGGGTCTGGAGCCCATCCTGGAAGTTACAGGCACAAAGCAGGGATTAACCTAGGATGGGGAAGTAACTTATACACAGGGCACACTCACACACACACATACTCACACACCATTCACTCACACACACACTCACACACCATACACTCACACACTCACACACACACACTCACACACACACACACACTCACACACCATTCACTCACACACCATACACTCACTCACACACCATACACTCACACACACACACACTCACACACCATTCACTCACACACACACACACACTCACACACCATACACTCACACACACACACACTCACACACCATTCACTCACACACACACACACACTCACACACCATACACTCACACACACACACACTCACACACCAT